CTACTCCAACAAAATACAAAGCGACAAATAAAAAACTTAATACCAACGTGTCATCCAGAATGGATTTATCTTCTTTTGAGAATCATATCACTTAATATTGGTGGCTAATAATAAAATAGATATGAATTTGATGCTGGTTCAGAAGAAATGTGACATAAAGTTGCAAGTACGCAAAATAAAATAAATATGGTGACAAGCGAATTATAATGAAATTTGAAAAAAAGATTGTGATAGAGAGGGTAATATTAAATATTTAAAATAAAAATAAAAATGGAATAAAAGATGAATATATCCTCTTTAAAGAATAAATTCTGATTTAACTATTTAATTGGTGGGCTAATAATAAAAGACTGATGAAGAATACTGGCTATTTGATGCTCTCTTGTTGAGAATAAATGTGACATAAAGTTGTAAGTACGCAAAAATAAATAAATAAGATAATTATAATGAAATTAGTAAAATAATGTGTCTCTAATTTTTCCCTAATCTGTAAACTTGAAAATTCTTGCATATAAAAGATTAAAATGTAAGGTTGGACCCTCTAATTTTGCTTTTCTTATTGTATTTTATTTTATTTCTGACAATTTAGCTTTAAAAATTTTGTTTATTTTAAGTTCCCTCTACAAATTTAAAAATTAAATTTGTTAATTTAAACCCCCATTTGATAGTTATTTTATTTTCTATTTTCTATTTTCTATTTCTAAAAATTAATTAAGTCCATAAACACTACTTTTACGGGTTTAGCTATATGTTTGTATGTTTTCTAGTATATGTTTTCTAGTTTGTAGGTATAACTTCTTTTTATATATTTTTTTTTCTTTTTTTTTCGCAAAGGAACTTCTTTATATATAGACACGTGGTTTATGTTATTAGAATTTAATCAGGTATTTTAAAAGATTAGTCCCTTGAGATATGGTGCAGTAGCAAGGATTTGAGACTTAAGTACCACTTACCTTGAAGTTTCAAGTTCGATCCACTAGCGTAAGTCACACGGTATCTATTATGGAAAAACTTTTATATATTTTTTAAAAGATTTTTTTTTACAACAAGTGGATATGTTCAAACTCATGACTTCTTGATCAGGGACAGGTACTAATTACTGTTGAATTAAATTCATATTAACTAAAAGATTTCATCTCGTTCTTGAATAACATTGTATCTTTTAGTACCAAAGACGTACATACCTAGGAATGATAATAGAAAAATAATAGAAAAGAGAAGTCAAAGAAAAAGACATAGAAAATGTAACAATAGGTCATAATTGACAGTAATTAAACAGTAGTGTGTGATTTGATCTTTAATCTCCACTTACCTCTTTTTGCTTTTGAATAATGGATGGCCACAAATTTTCAATACGTCTAATTCCGTAGCAACTTAGAACTCTCCCAAAAAAAGGACCACTCGTTATTCATTTCATATGGGTGCTCAAGCTTTTAACACGAACGAGAGGAAGAGAGAGAGAAATTCAAGAGCTAAATTCATCCACATAATTAATAAATTTCTTTTTCTTTTTTTAGTTCGACAATTGAAGAATGAAGATCAATTTTCATCGACCTTAAAGATTGATATATATGTCTTATCCATTTAAGTTAGGTTGGTACAAAATTATTTCTCATTCTGATCAAATCCATAAAATAGTTTCTCTCTTTCGATGAATTTTGCTTAAAACTCACAAAATGATTTCTCTCCCTTCTCTCTYTGTGGGTTTAGTTTGCTTAACATAATGAAATATGTTTTTGCCAATTTTCTTATGATCTTTTATTTAGCTAAAGAATAAGTGAAAGAAATGATTATGTCTAAAAGTGTAATTTAACCATTGTAATTAAGGTTAAAAAAGTAGTAAAAGTAGTGAAGCCAATCTGGCAATTAATTATAACGATCAACATGATTGCTAAATACACTCCCAAAAAATCCAGTAATCTTTTCTAAAATACTYATAAAATAAGAAATTCACTAAGAATTTGAATTACTATTTTTGTGTGACTAAAATACTGAGGACAAATTTTCCTGAACAAATAAATTTTTTACTATATATTATATATAAAATGGTAATATATCCAGAAGAATTTTATGAGTCAGAATCTTAAAGATAAGAAACAAAATGTATCAGATAATCCTCGATGCACTTTTTTCGTATTTTTATAAGAATTTGTTCAACCCCACGAAACATTTTAATAATGTTTTTAGGATTATATATCAAACAGATTCTATTACGATAAAATATATATATATATATATATATATATATATAATTTATAAGATGTGGCTGAAAGCCATCCATGCAAAAGGACAGCAACTTTTAATGTGGGATTCCTCGAATTCCAGCACAAGTTGATTCCATTGTCTCACGCCACGTCATTGCTTTTGGATATAAACTCCACCTTCAACAAATTAATGGGTTTAATTTTGGCATAAAATGATTGATTAAAAATATATGACATCCCTCTCCACTTTCCACGCGTGTAGAGCTCAGCTAGGTTGGAAAATTATGTTAAACAAGATTAATTTATTTATTTAGTATATTACTAAAGTAAACAAATTTTGAGTTCAAATTCCTCCACGTGTCTATTGATGAGTTGTGCTTGTACTGAAGAAACTATCAAATTTGGTAACAAGGAGCTGACATTATTGACAAATGCATTTAAATTGATAAATCTAATAACTTTTGTGATTGATGAGAAACATGTTGAGATAACTCTAGAGTTAAGTTAATTTGTTTGAGATGATTAATATTAATTAATTTAATAAAAGTGTATGATCAAATGAAAGAAAAATTAAAAAAATAATGGTAAGTAGTGGGGGAAGGTGTGACAAATTAATATATATTATAGAAGAGAAGGGTTTTTGGTCTGATTTTAGTGTGAAAATGAAAAAATGAATTAATTTTGAAATGAAAAGAGAGAGATTTTTGAAATAATGGTATCCATGACATATTTCCATTATGAAATAATTGGCATCCATATCATATTTCCATAAAGAAAGAGGGTGGGGGAATAAGAGCTGATTAGGAGACAGCCACTGCAAATTTTTCTCATCCATTTCCATAACTTGAGACTTGGGAGCTGAGAATTTCAATTAAAATTGTTTAATTATTTGTTATTATCAAACTCAATTTTTAGTAAAACACATCACATCATAGAGGTAGGTCTGCCYAAGTGCTAGTCGTTTTCACAAACAAACTTAGATAATGAATTTAGAAAATAACTTTTGTTGATGCAGAATTTAGAGCTAACATGTGTTAAGAGTGCGAGTTTGAGTGAACTCTTAATAGGATATGATTAGTTGATGACATACAAACAAAACTTTGTATCGATTTATGTGGTGTTCGACTGCGTACACTTTAAAGCTTAAGTTAGAATTTAGAGTGATCAGTTGGTGTTGAATCGAGCTTCATACCTTCGAAAAGGTGGGGTTTCGCCTTTGGTGATCAGCTGTGGGAAGTGCAGTCATGCCACTTTGATGCCGGTATCTAGCATTCAAAAAGTTTTATGTTCATACCATCCGCCTTTTTTTAGTGGAGTTAGCAGAATTCTTACCAGGAGCATTCTCTATTGGTCGAAGGTGGGCTATCTTTGTCAATCCCACCTTGTTGTGGGTGTAAGATCGGTTGCCACGTGTCGCTGTGAGGAGAGAACGTCGATCTGATCGAACTCCTGGACAAAGAGATTGACGYGTACTAGGGAAGTATCCCCATTCTCTTAACAACCTCCTATGATGCCATAATTCGAGAAAGGAAATAAAGATGATTAAAAATGTTGTCCGTAATTTTCTTATGTCCAACATAAGGACGAGAAGAGGCAAGTGAATCCATGMAAATGTATTGAAGCCATAGCAGTGAAACATTTGTCCTTGATGGGACCAAGTTGAAGCTGAGACGTGTATTCCCGAACAAGTGGTCCATATTACAGACCTACAACCTACCTATAACATATAATATATAATAATAGACGTGTGGGGTTTATTTTCCCTTTTCCTTTTTCTCAAGTTGCCCAAAGAAAACAATGTTTCCTCGTTTTTTTTCCCTAAGAATTTTGTTCTTATATAATATTTTTTTAGTACAATAAATGGGATGAGGTGGAATTCAAATCATAACCTCTTGATTATTAGAGAGAAGTACCAAGCTCAGATTGACTGTCTTTTTTTTTAGACTAGCTCTTATATATAATAATTATCAGTGATTATGGCCTAATAACTTAATTTTATATGATGTTACATATTTGATAAAAATAAATTCTAATTTGATACATAAAATCCAAGTATTATAAGGCAAGAGAATATGATTTCCGTAACAATTATATACGTTATATCATGACTTAAAATAATTTGAGAAAATAAAAACAACGCATAAAATTCCGAGTGAAGTTTTTTGAAGTGTGAAAAATTAGGGGGAAAATGGTGTTGCCTCTTGGCTTTGGCTGGGTATTTAGTTTCAATAGCACAGCTTAACCAGAGCTAATAATTGATCAGCCAGCTTTCTAAGAAAAAAACAAACAAAACAAAAAAGAGAGTTCTAAATAGATAGGATCTTGAGATTAATCATATACACATCTTGCTTCCGTACTTCTACTTTTGTGTCAACTTCATACATGCACTTTTAAAATAGTCTTAATTTGGCCCTCGAGCTTCGATTTACGCACTTTTCTCCCCCTTAAAGCATCAATTTAACATGAGGTCTTGTATTCGAGTCTTGCACTGGTCACAATGTTGTTCAGTCTGGACAATTACGAGTCTCGATCACAAAGATCTATCAGTGTAAGTTTACACGACATTAATTTTGAAAAATCCAACAAAAGAAGAAGGTTTCACTTTACCAACCCYAATGGTCCCTCTGCTGCGCCTCATGACAAATGTAGCACAACAAATTGAAGTTCTATTTTTTTTTCTTTTTTAGTTTAGGAGTGGAAATTTGAATATTTGATCTTTTGRTCGATAATATATATGTCATGATATTCAGGTTAGCAAATTGAAGTCTTGAATTTCAAACTGAAATTTTTTAAAAGTACATGGACAAAATCGACATAAAGTTGTATTAATTTATTCTAATAAATTTGATGAAAAAGAAAGAATCAACTGGTAATTTGATGGAACCATGCCTAGTTGTTGTAGGAGTTTACAAATGAAGTTCCAATAATATGATCAATTGTTCTCTAATTTGGAGATTGATTGCAAATTCAAGCATTGGAGACTGTTGTTGTTGGAGCAGTGGCTTTGAGTTGTGCATGATCTGAAGAAGGTTTCAAGTGGTGATTTGTGGTAGTTGAGTTTTGGTGCGAAATTGAAGTCGGTAAGTTGTCAGTGCCCAATTTTAATGGAAGCTGATCTTTGCTTTTGCCCCACAGAACCAAGTAAAGGCCTATAATTATCACGGCTGCTCCAATAACCCTGAAATAAAATTAAAATTAATTAATTCAAGTGCTTTTCTTAGTAGAGATCATCTATTTGCCTACTAGAAACTCACCTAATATAACATTAATAATTTCTTGTAGGGAGTGCTCTAATAATTTGCCAACCAATTAAAGAATTAAAATTGTGACAGAAAAAAAATAAAAAATAAAATGAAGGGTCCAAAATAATTACTTTTTAAAAATACATGATCAGACCAAAATAAACATTGTGACAAACTAAAATGAACCAAAGTAATTAGAGACCAAAATGAACATTTTAGTAGTAGAGGACTAGAGGACCAAAATAGTATTTTAACCTAAGGTAACAGATAAAGAAACATCACTTAAAAAAAAGTAATAAAAAACTCCTACTCTAGCAGTAAAGAATACTTTTTTTTTAGTACTCAAAAATTACCTTCCCAAGCGCAGTGTTTCAGCGAATATGAATGAACTAATAACCGCAACTATGACCATGCTGAGAGGATTGAATGCGGTTACAAACACAGGTCCTTTTAACTTCACCACCACTCCTTGGAGATAATACGCAATTCCAGAAGATATTATTCCCTGCACAAGGCATGGCCTTGAAATTTAGTTTAAATCTTAAACTCCCGTCAGAAGTTTTGTTGGAAAATGATATATAAACTTACACCGTAGAGGGCGGCTAAGAGTATGGAATCGGCATGTAAGGCCCATGCAGCTGGATTGTTCCATTCGAACGCTAGAGCTAGAATAGTGCTTTCCACAGCTCCCGCCAAGCATATGAAAGTCGTCAGAGTCAGCTCTGCTGGGTATGTTCTTATTGTATGTGCCTTTAAGAAGCACGAAACAAGAAACTTGAATCATGAATTTTCTTCGTTACGACGTAAATATAGTTATAACATGGGGAAACATGGATGTACCAGAAGGATGGTGAAGGCTGAGGAGCAGATACTTGAAATGGTGATAACAACGGCGGCCTTGACAGGTTCTTGCTTGTTGGCAAGGCTGGAATAAGAGTGAGGGTTGTTTTCTTTGGTCCAAGGCAAATTCAACATGGGTCCTTTTAGAAGCGTCATCATCATAGCTCCTCCAACTGTCACTAAGGTTCCTAAAATCTTTGCCTGACTTCGTATTCTTCTAATATTGACCTTCTCCATTCTTCAGAAGAAAATTAAGATGATGCTCATGATATGAAGTAAATATCTGTCAATGGATATGTATGTGTGTGCATGAATGCATTTTTTGAGTTTATATAAGAAGGGGTACCTGCAAATCCAAGCCATTAAGAACGCAAAGGCTGGGAGAATATTGCACATGGCGGTTGCGAATGTTGCAGTTGTGTATTTAGTACCAGAGTAAATCAAGCTCTGTGCTATTACAGGCCTGTCAGGGTGATAAATGGATGTGAGTTTTTTCAACATAGGTAATTGTGGCTGCGTCTGAATGATTTTATGTAAACAAAAAATTGCTGTAGGGTGCTTTGAGTTCTTACTCTAGCAAGCCCAGAATTAGGATCTTGGCGAAGATGGAGAGAGTCATCTTTGGTCTTATTTTCCTGTCATCAAATGGGTTTGTAATGGTGAAATAAGGCTTAAGAAATATAGCTTAGAGAGAGAGAAAGGAGACAAATACCTGTCCAAGACAAGGGCAAAAGGAGCAACAACAATGGCACCAATAGAATAACGATAAACAATGGTGACAAGTTGGTTCATTCCCTGGTTTAGAGCAGCTTTGGAAATAATAGACATTCCTGCAGAAGCAAATCTTAGTGCAATGGCTCCCAAATATGGCTTTGCCTGCTTAAAAATTCTATCCGCCTGCTCCATTTCTCTCTCTCTAGAAGTGTTTGTCAACAGATAATCACAACCAATGGCAGAAGTTTCAGCTTGCTTTTATAATGGGTTTTTAAGCTAATCTTCGGGGTTAACTGATATGCATTAAAAAACTAGGAGTAACCTTTTTGTTTTAGGTCAAATACTTGAGAAAATTACATCATCAATATCCTCCAACATAAAGCATTTATCCTCAGTTGTGATTAAAAAAACAAGGGAGAGTTAAACCCGGCCCGTAGGAGGTCCATTAATAAGGTTTTGGAGTCTCTTTAGTCACACCAATTTAGAGGTCTCAAATTTAAATTTTCGAACGAGCTTAATAACAAAATTCTTTCATATCTCCCGAATTTGGACCTTGGTTASGCATGGTGCCCACCATTACAGTGGAAAACATTAAACAGGTATCCGATTCAGAAAAAATATTCAAAAAAAAGGAGAGAATTAGAATGAAACTTGCGCACAATATTATTAAAAAAATGAATATCATATCCGTGTCTATTAAAATTACTTTTCAATCAAGATTGTGATATTGAGGGGGTGAACAATGTATATTTTAAATGAAAATTAAAAATGTATTAAAAATGGAACAGAAGATGAATATGCTCTTTTGAGAATCATATCTAATAATTCTAAGTATTTAAATGGTGGCTACTGACTAGGAATAAAGGAGATGAATCCGATACTTATGTTAAGAACAAATGTGACAAGAAGTTGCAAGAACAAAACATAAATAAATGGACAAACAAGAGAACTAGAATAAATTTCGAAAAACAAGATTAAATTTTCAAATTTGTATGTATTGAAATTACTTTTAAATCAAGATTGCGACAAAGGGGAAAAAGATGAAACATTTCAAACTAAAATTAAAAAAATGGAATAAAAGATAAATATGTTCTCCTTTGAGAATCATTTTTTATTTCAGTATTTAATTAGTGGCTTATAATACAGTAGATGAATAATAGTGGCTATTCAATGCTTGTTGAGAGTAAATAGGACATAAAAGTTGCAAGAACGCAAAAAAGAAACTAATAGAAGTAGAATTAAGATGACAATAGCATCTGAACACTCAAATATACGGCCTAACAAGTAATGATTTAACGTAAATATGAAAAGAACTATGTGAAATACTACCAATTAAGGAATATATTTGAGATGTATTTTAAAAATTCGATTATATTTCTTAAGCAAATTCTCTAAAGATTGTAAATTTTAATTTTTCTTGTTTCATTTCAGCTCCTAAATTTCCAATTTTTGTTATTAGTCCCTAAATCTTTGCATTAGAAACTATTTTAATCCTTGTCATAAATTTTTCATTAAATATTTAACAATAATCTTAACTTAATTGAATATAAACTTACCATTACATGTGATTTTAAACATTTATCCATATCTTTTATCAAAATATATATATATTTACATTTATCCATATAGGCATCTTTTACTCGTCACACCTAAATGAGTAGAAGGCATAACACATGTTAGATCTTGGTTGAATGATTGATAAAAAATAAAATAATAATAATAATAATAATAGCTAAGATAATGATTTTTTTTGTAAAATTTAAGAACTAAAATGGAAGGTTAGAAATAAAATAGATATGAAAAATATTTTAACTTCTTTATATATGCTCGCACAAAAGAATTTTTTATAGTACCACAAACATGAAATGGGAATATAAACCTCTAATTTTAAAGGAAGAATTAGATGTCATGTTTTTAGAATTTCTAAAATCATTATTTTAACTATATAAACAAACAATATGAAAATTTTGAAAAATAAATTTGATTGGACAAAAAACACTTTTTAGCTTTCAAAAATCATAACAGAACTTACTCTTCACTCAGAGTTTAGGATGCTACTAACCTTAGCCTTTAAGATAAACTTTGCCTACAAAATTACCTACCATCAATCTTCATCTCTCTACTACCATTATAATCTCCATCCCGCGTCTACAATATTTAACATCAAAAAAAATCATTAGATATTTTAATATCCGATATAAATGCCAATCATGGATAAACTTCAAAAATATTTTAAGTTTACTTTTAAATTAATATATCTCTCATTCAAATTTCTTCTTTCTAATTTTTTGTTTTCTTTTTTTTTTCCTTCCTCCTTTTTTTTTCTTTTTTTGTCTTAAATGAGCAAATAGTTTAACATATCATCATCTCCTGCAATACCTTAAATAGTTTATTATATCAGAGCATGCATCACCTGCAATTTTTCCTTTTCTAAAACAAAAGAGGGCAAATATTTTAGTGTACAACTTTATTATTTTAAAGAAACTCACTATATTGGCCTGCGTTATCGAGCTCATTTCTTTTTCAAGCTGCTTAATGTCAAATGGATAATTTAAGAGGTTGGGTTCTTTTCCTTCCGTAATGGAGTTTTGCACCTGCAAATATAGCATAATAAAATTTCAATATTAAAACAATAATGTCACTAAAAGGATTAAAATAAAGTGAAAATATGACAAAAGATAGAATAGACACTCATCAGTGGTTTACTATCATTATCTCCAACAATATTTAGACCAAGTATTAATCACTGATTGAAGATGAAAAATGAATTAAAAGAATTTAAAAAACTGATTATTATTATTATCATGTCAATAAATCAATGATTTATTAATTTTTCAAAAATAATATTATATTTAAAATTATTTTTATAAACACACATACAAATAATTATTTATATTGAAGGGGGGTAGAGAGGGATGGAAGCAGAGGTGACATGTGATGAGGTAATAAATCATGTAGCCACACATACTGTGTTTTTCTAATTCTGATTACCAATCTGTTAAATAAACTTGAGGAATGAAGCATATGGGCATTATGAAAAGTTGTGGAGCAATTATTTAACAACATTTGAAATATAAAATTATTGTTTAAACTCTAACCAAAAGTATCGCAATGGGTCCTGCGTACATAACTTTTTAATAATGAAACAAATAAGATTCTCTACAGGGAATTGAAATCTTCCAATCTGGACAGTTCTTGGGGCAAAAATATAAAACGGAAAAAAATTAAAACAGTCAAAATGATTCAAATGAAATCCTCGAAACTCTAGAAATCAGAGAGGGACTTGTATAAAATCACATATAAGATCAAATCCCTTTCTTCTTTTCATTAATAGATCAAATCCCTTTTTTTCTTTATTTTAGTAGATGGGAGTTCGAACCGGTCGGAATGCCTCGATAAATTGATAAATTGAACTATGCTCAAGTTGGCAAATCAAATCCCTTCTAAATATTATTAGTTGTGTCACATTAACACGGTAAAAATTAATCACTTGCTAGATCATTATTCCATTAATAGTATCAATAAAAAGGACTAAGTACCAGCATAATTCAAAATTTAGTGATATAATTAAAACTATTTAAAGGTTAAAAACTAAATAAATACAATGTCTAAGACTAAATTTATAATTTAACCTATAAATAACTCAAATTCTAGTGATATAACTAAAACTATTTGAAAGTTTTTCGAAGGATGAAGGACTACGAATGTCTAAGACTAAATTTATAATTTAACCTAAATTGATACTATACGGTGTAAAATCCAAGAAAACCAACAAAGAACAATAGCAGAGCATTAGGTGACATCATCTTCTACGGTGAAGCTGGCAATTTTCCTTTTGGCTTAGTGGAGTGTGAGAATATACATATTACAGGCACGAGATTCTTTCTACTCACAGAGCAAGTTGGTCTCCCAGCCTTTGAGTGGAGCAACTAGCAAGTGTTGTTGTGGAATCAGAATTTCTGGCAAAGTAAAAAACCAATATAATAAGAAAACAGCTACTGTTGATGTCATTTTATTAGAGCTAATAGTTTAAATGAGCATTGAAAATTAAAATGCCATCCCTCTCAGCTTCCACAAGGGGAAGTGTGATTCTAAGGTATGCTGTGGAAATTCCAATTCTGATGAAGAGTAGACGGCCCTTGTAATTGCAATCCATCTCAGACTCTCGAAATAGCAACTGTTGATAACAAAACATCATAATCAATTAGCCCATTACAAATTTACAGGTAGGAATATTGTATGGATGAAAACGACAAATATCCCTGATAAAAGTGTTGGAAAACAATATAACGTTAATGGAAGTGGGTGTCTGCAAAAGAAAGAAAGTACAACGTCAGGCCTGCTTTCAAGAATATGAGATTGCAGAAGTCAAGATATCCAAACATCAGATGAAAATCAGAATATGAGAATATTACTTTTCTTTTTCTACATGTTACGAAATACATAGTTTACTGGATGAGATAATTGTCCAACCAACAGAAGTTGATTGGAATAAAGCATCATATATAGTTCAGATCTAGGTAGAATTATACTCTCCCGCTCTAACTATGACAAGTGTATGTGTGAGAGAGAGAGAGAGATCACGATACATGCTTTAAGAATGTAAATGTTTTGAGTTACCGGTTCCAATAAATATGAAGCCTTGAGGTATTTTAGGAGACAACAGTGGGATGAACGGCTAACAATGAGAATTTTTTTCCAACAAATTTTACATTGATCAGTATCTTTATTCCATTGAGCAGAATACGTCTGCATGAGACTGCATACAGCCTAACATAATAAGTCACTCAATAGAAACATATGCAGAAAAATTACAATGAAAGTACAGAATTTAGGACCATATAAAGTTTACATTTACATATCTTTTAATATGTTGTGAATCGCTTACTAATGGGATCTGGAGGGACTTCAATGGGGATACATGATTGGGTCATGCTGCAGTGCTTTCTCAATAATTTCGGTTTGTTCTTTAACATGAACTTGATAAAAACCGGTGGCTGTAGCCGCAGATGGAGCCCGACCAACGTATTTGATATCTTCAATTGTTCCTCGGGCCAGATTCTTCATGGCAGAACCAAGACGAGGACTTATGTAGCTGTACGCACCCATGTTCATTGGCTCCTCTTGGCACCAAACAACCTCAGCATCTGGGGAGCAAAAGGTGAACG